CACTTTGCACAAGAATGGTTTTATCCCTAAGGCTGACGAGGATAGGGAAACCATTCGGATTGTTAAAGGAGCATTGACTGTGATGAAAGGCAAGATGACTGCAGGGAATATCTACAGATTGTTAGGGAGTACCGTTGCAGGTGGAGTTCACTCTGTTGAGTCCTGTGATGATACGACAAAATTGTGGCATATGCGCCTTGCTCATCTTAGTGAACGTGGTATGGCAGAATTACACAAGAAAAACTTGTTGCATGGTGTCAAAAGCTGTAAGCTCGACTTTTGCAAGTATTGTGTTCTTGGTAAACAGACTAAAGTCCGTTTCAAGACTGCGAAGCACACAACTCAAGGGATTCTTGATTATGTGCATTCTGATGTATGGGGGCCTTCCACGACATCGTCTTTGGGTGGATCTAGGTACTATGTTACTTTTATTGATGATTTTTCACGGAAAGTTTGGGTGTATTTTTTGAAACAGAAATCTGAAGTTTTTGAGAAGTTCAAGCTGTGGAAAGCTGAGGTAGAAAACCAAACAGGACGAAAAATCAAGTGTTTGCGGTCTGACAATGGTACGGAGTACACAGATTCACAGTTCCTACAATTCTGTAAGGAGCATGGGATTCAGAGGCATTTTACAGTGCGCAAGACACCACAACAGAATGGTGTTGCGGAACGAATGAACAGGTCGTTGAATAAAAGAGCCAGATGTTTGTGGTTGAATGCGGGGCTTCCCAAACACTTCTGGGCTGAGGCTGTTAACATGGCGTGTTACCTTATCAACAGATCGCCAAGGGCATCGCTGGCTGGGAAAGTTGCAGAAGAGGTATGGACTGGTCATGATGTTAGTTTTGATAACTTACGGATTTTTGGTTGTCCTGCTTATGTGCATGTACCTGCTGATGAGAGATCCAAACTTGATGCAAAATCGAAGGAGTGCATTTTTCTGGGTTACAAGAAAGGTGTCAAAGGATTCAAGTTCTGGGATCCAGTTGCGAAGAAAGTTGTGATTAGTAGAGATGTCGTTTTTGATGAACAATCCATGTTGCAGCTGAAGCAAGACACGACAGTGGTGGATTTCGAGCAGTTTCCAGTTGAGAAACCAGAAACTTCTCAACCGACTTCTGGTGGTTCCACTACGGATGATTTGCATGATTATAGTCTCGCCAGAGACAGGGTGAGACGGACGAATATAAAGCCTCCGAACAGATTGGGTTTTGAAGACTTGGTATCTTTTGCACTTATTGTTAGCAGTGATGATCCGGTTACTTTTCATGATGCCGTTACTAGTCAGGAAAACGACAAGTGGATGGCAGCCATGGTTGAGGAGATGGAGTATTTGAATCACAATCGCACATGGGAGTTAGTTCCCCTTCCTGAGGGTAAGAAGCCGATTGGTTGCAAATGGGTGTATAAGAAGAAACCAGTAGTAACAGAAAAAGAGGGGGAGAAGTTCAAGGCTCGTTTGGTAGCGAAGGGTTTTTCACAGCAGAAAGGAGTTGATTATGATGAAATCTTTTCTCCTGTGGTCAGGCACACTTCAATCCGAGCAGTACTTGCATTGGTGGCTAGTTGGGATTTGCATTTAGAGCAGATGGATGTTAAAACTGCTTTTTTGCATGGTGATTTAGAGGAGCAGATCTACATGCGGCAACCTGAAGGTTTCACTCAACCTGGAAACGAGCATTTAGTTTGCAGATTGAAGAAATCTTTGTACGGGTTGAAACAGTCTCCGAGACAGTGGTATAAACGGTTTGACTCCTATATGATCAAGATTGGCTACAACCGATGTGAGTATGATTGTTGTGTCTATGTTAAGAGCCTTGATGATGGTTCTTTTATTTTTCTATTACTGTATGTTGATGATATGTTGATTGCTGCGAAGAACATGGATGATGTTATCGGTTTGAAAACTTTATTGAGTCAGGAATTTGATATGAAAGATTTGGGTGCTGCAAAGAAAATTCTTGGAATGGAAATTTGCAGGGACAGAGACTCAAGGAAACTGCGGCTATCTCAACGGGGTTATGTTGAGAAAATGCTAGAAAGGTTTGCGATGAGCAGCGCAAAACCAGTTAGCACTCCATTGGCGAATCACTTTAAGCTCTCATCAGAACAGTGCCCCAAGACAGATAAGGAAGCTGAAGATATGGCAAAGGTTCCATATTCTAATGCTGTTGGCTGCTTGATGTATGCGATGGTATGTACTCGTCCTGATTTAGCTCATGCTGTTAGTCAAGTTTGTAAGTACATGTCTAAACCTGGTAAGCAACATTGGGAAGCAGTCAAGTGGATCTTTCGGTACTTAAAGGGTACTGTGGGACATGGAATTGTTTTTGGGAGTCAGCGGGATAATCCTTTGGTTGTAGGATATGTGGATTCAGACTATGCAGGTGACTTGGATAATAGAAGATCTACGACAGGGTATGTCTTTACTCTTGGTGGAGGGCCTATTTGTTGGAAGTCTAATGTTCAATCTATTGTGGCTCTATCTACAACTGAAGCTGAGTACATGGCAGCGGCTGAAGCTGCAAAAGAAGCTTTATGGCTTACTGGTTTAGTGAAGGAGTTGGGTGTTCAACAAGGTGGAGTTCAGTTGCTTTGTGATAATCAAAGTGCTATTCACTTGGCTAAGAATCAGGTGTATCGTGCTAGAACTAAACATATTGATGTAAGGTTCCACAAGATCAGAGAGTTGGTTGCATCTGGAGAGGTTTTGTTTCAGAAGGTACATACTGATGAAAATGCCGCTGATATGTTCACTAAGCCAGTTACGACAGACAAGTTCAAGCATTGCTTGGACTTGTTGAATGTTTCGAGTTGTTAAAGAATCAAGGTAACCCAACCCACATTGAATTTTCCAAGAGGCAGGATATTCGCCAAGGTGGAGATTTGTTAGGTATGGCTCATAAAATATACCAGTAAAGAGGACATGAGATGGAGCGGAGTGAGCGAAGCGAACATCAACTGTCCTTACAAAGAAAGTCTCGTTGTGGGGTTACGAATTATGTGGGTTGGGGGTGCGGGGGCGTAGCCCTCGCGGTACGGTACAGGGTTAATTTTGTAATTATGTACCAGGGTTTTCTATTATAAATAGAGATGTAACCTAGACCTAAAAGATCATCATTGAATAAAACTTCTAGCGCCGCCTAGGCACCGAGGACGTAAGCACATTGCCGAACCTCGTAAAATTCTCGTGTTCTTTCGTTTTCTTTACCCGTTTTCGTCAACATTCTCCAACCAGGTAATGATTTAGAAATTAAATTTTATCTTAATTAAATTAAATTATGATGTAATTGATAAAATATATAAATATTGAGGATCAAACATGCAATTATACTAAGTTTTTTAACTGTCACGTCACCTCTTCTATTAAAAGTTATTAGACGGTGGCATGATTGAAGTATTTAAATAGAAAATTATAAAAGTTATATAATATATTACTTTCTTTGTCCCATTAAAGTTGTTCCTTTATTGTTTTAAAATTGCCCAATTTAAATTGTCAATAATTTTAACTAAAACACATTTCCTTTTCTACCTTTTCTTAATTTCCCAATAAAGTAAAATTTAATTTTTTATAATATAAACTTTTTTTCCTTTTAAAATCACGTAAAAAAAAATAAATAATGGACAATATAAATGGGACGGAGGAAATAATATATCACAGAGTTACGGCCCATTTTCAGCGGTTCCGTAGTCGGCAGGCCCGTTAAAAGACGAGACAGAGAAAATCAAACATCATTTTCACATGTCAAATCCTCAATATTTTGTCAAATAAAGACCGAATTTGAACTTGTCGTGCTTTCTAAAGCACTCAAAAACCAATTGACTCTTCCTTTCGTTAACAGGTCCATTGATCCGATTAGCACATAATTTCTAAAAATTATTGGTCCGACATGTTGAAATACTGTACCAAAACAATGCATTAAAATATAAATTAAGTAGTTTGAGGTGTGTTTTCATGGTATAATGTATCATTTAAGATTTAATAATTTTTTTCTTTTTATAAATTAAATATTGCACGAACTAACTTACCTCAGTGGTTAAAAGAATCGTTGTTGTTAGAGGTAACGGGTTCGAGCACCATCGACTACAGCAGGATAATTGAACGTTCATTGTCAAATAATTAAGAATACTTAGAACAAATAATATTCTATAATCACCTTAATTTAATAAAAAAAAGCATAACCTGAATTAGTTAAAGATTTTAATAAAAATATCCAATAAATTTCAAGAACGAATTTAGAAGTGAAATAAAATATATTGTTATTTTTAGGTGTATTTAGAGGGGAAGTTTCATGTGCGGCAGCCTAATATACGGTTAAGGAAATGCATTACCGGTTTTGTTGTTATTTTTTTAACAAAACTTGTAAAAATTTACCAGAAACATTATTATTTCTACCGGTTTTGTTATTATTGGGCGCTTTACTGGGTTTGATACTATATTCGATAGAAAAAAATAATATTTTAGGTAACGCTTTACCGGATATATTACCAAGCTCGGTAAAGTGCTCAATAATATTTTGGGTAGAAATAATAATGTTTCCGGTAATTTTTTACCGGTTTTGTTAAAAAAATAACAAAACTAGTAGCGCATTTCCTTAGCCATATATTAAGACCGATGTACGGTAAAACTTCTCGTATTTAGAATGAAAACGAGATTTGATATTTATAGGAGTGACTAAATTTAACAAAGGGTTATTATTTAATGATGTATAAAGAATATTATAAATTCAATAATGTATGATGATGTATAAATGAAGTTATCTAACTTTATTTTAAGAATGTAAAAACTATTGAAATATTTTAATTTTTTAAGTAAAATAATTATTTATAATACTCAAAATGTATTTATTTAATATTATGTATTTATAAGATGGAATCGAACGATTTAAATAATTATTATTATTTCTTGAAGTTTTAGGTTTAATCATAAAAAATTTCACTGGTGTAGACATTTAACGTTAAATGACTCAGAACTCTCTCACCTACATTATCAGAGCAGAAACATTAACCCTCCTCCTACTCTCTCTTATCTATCTTAATCTACTTGGTTTCCTCATACCTTTCTCAGGATATTCTCCGGTGGTGATATTATTAGCATAGAAGAATCTGTTAAGCTCAGGAGGGATAGCGCCATCGATGATCTTCAACCTTTGCTTCTCAATTTCGATCTTCGGTGACGCTATCTATCCTGAGTTTCATCGGTTCATCTTGCTCTTGGTTCTCGAGATGAAGACATCTCATCTAGGTACGTTTTGCTGCTATTTCCCGACCTCCTCTTATCTTGTTAGCAAATTTGTCTGCTTTCTTTCTTTATTAGAGTGTATCCCAGCGCTCAAACAAATTTTCTTGATCCTTTGGTTTTATGGAACAATCATCAGCTTTGTCTCTCTCATTTCTGATGAGATTTGTTCATAAATTTTGCAACCGATTCGGACACATAGCCAGCAGGAAGACCAATGATTCTCACCCAAAACCAACAGTGTTTAGGGGCACTCCCCGTGAATCCTCCCCTTATTTAATTTATGTAAAACTAATAAATGAGAATTAAAGTACCACGGACCATCCCTGTTAATTCTCTCATCATCAACACCATGGTATAACAGACAAAGTTTTGTCAAAGTTTGTGTTCATTATCTGAAAATTTATCATGTTTGCAGTAAGGAAAGAAACCCACAAAACAATTCTCAAAGGAGATGTTCGAGACATGTTCATCAGATTCCAAAACCAAAGCCTCGTCATCTTCTTCTCCCAACTGTAAACCATCCAAACATTGTTCCAGATCACCCATCCCAACGACAGAAACAGATCAGCCACTAGATGGGCAAAACCCTAAAGCAAGCCACACGACTTGAGAGAAAAGGGCAAAACCCTAGGAAAATATATATACGATTTTTCATAAATATATACTTTTTATATAAAATATTTCATTCATTAGATGTTAAAAGGATGGTCCATTCATTAAATGGTGTAGTAGTTGAAGAAGATCTAATACATACGATAATTTAACATTATGAATGGGATTGCGAAAGCTTGATGCATGGAGGGTAAGTGAAACAAGTTTGGCACATCTTCTGAGAAGACAACAAATGTATATACGAATAATACGATCAATCTAGAGTATTATCTTCTAAATTATTTTAGATTCGATTCATTTAACGTTCGTATATATTTTATATTTAATATTCAACGATTAATAATATCTTTTTATTTTTTTTTGTAAAGTACATAAATAATCTCCGATTATAGGATACTACTTTATTAAGTCCCTTAAATATTAAAAGTTGTAAAATGGCCCCTTAACTATAACAAGTTGTTTTATTGAGTCCCTCAACTATTAAATTTATCAAATGGTCACTCGACTATTTATTGTATTCAAAACTCATCGTTTTCCGTTGAAAAATTCATATGAGTTAGACATTAACATGCTGACTGAGATATGATAGTCGTTCGAGATTATAAGATAATATTTTATCATATCTCAGTCAGCTTGTTAATATATAGTTCAGACTGTCATCAAATTTTTAACGAAAAAGAACAAGTTTGGAACATAATAAATAATCAGATGACCATTTTGTAACTTTAAATAGTAAAAGAACTCAACAAAGCAACTATATAACTATTTTGTAACTTGCAATAGTCGAAGAACTTAATAAAACAATATCATAAATCAAGAGAGCATTTATACAATATTATATAGTCAAGAAACCATTTATACACTTTACCCTTTATTTTTTTATTTGTATGTCAAAAATTGATAAAATTACACAATTAATTTTTAAACTTTTTATACATCACAATTTGAAATCTAAAATTCACACTATACAATTTAACCTCTACTTTTATCAATATTTAAGTTTCTAAGATTATGAATTCGTTTCTTCGTTCATTTGTGGAATGAACTTAAAATTTTATTTACACTCATTTATTTTACTTGATAAACGATCATAAACGATCAAATCGAGTATTTTATTTGTTTAAACCTTCGAAAAATCATGTTAATATCATTTTCCAACGAAACGACTTATGCCGTACTGTATTTGATTATCAACCGTAAACCATGGAAAGCCTTTAATTTAGTTTGTTTTACTCGAGCAGTGGGGCATTGAATGAGAGTCGAGGTTTGCCATGTGCATCTGCTCTGCACCGCTCCTTTTATTGGGTTTACCATGCAACCAGAGAGGAACAGCCAGCTGCAGTACCGCTGCCCCTACTCCAGCATGTGCCCGTGCCCGTGCCCGTACCCGTACCCGTGCCTGTGTGCCTCGGTTACAAGGGCAGAGGAACAGACTTTTAAACATCGATCGACCGCTACAAACAAGTTGATGATCAGTTGACAAATTAAAAGTAGTTTTCACTCCAACTACTGAATCATGTGCCATAACTTCATATAGACTTTGTTCAACATTGGTGTCCATTAATGTCTGCATGTCATTATCCTAGGAAAACACATAGGTAAAAAGACATAATGCCATAATGTGTCTTGCCGAATTTAGACAGTAGAGGCTTGTAATTCACAGTAGAAATAAAGCATAGTGGAAAGACAATATCAATGTTTCGAGAAATTCAGACATCGCCTCACTCAGAAGGTTGATCCATTCCATCCAAAGTTCGAACCCTGCAAAAGAATCGATGTATCAGAACAATCAAGCAGCAAGTACCGCAAAGGTGTGCTAAATATCATCATGACCAAAGAAACGGCATAAGTCGGACTCACAAGAAAGCTAACGAGAGCTATGCTCACAGTATGAAAGAGAAAAGATCTATTTAGATTATCTAGTGCTGGTGTAAAGCATGCAAACACTGTGCATATTCTTGGGTTTGTTGCGCCTAAACAAACAGGGAAATGTGATGAGAATAAACAAATAGATGACAATAATCCATCCTCATGACAATTAAGCAAAAATAGATAGCCTGCCTTGGTGTCAAAGAATTTGAGGAAGAACCGTGATGGGGGCACTTGCAGCTTGGTGTCGAGAATTCCAGCAATTGCAGCACTCAGTTTCTTGTTCACATCTGGATTTAAGCCACCAATGGATACCAGCTCGCCATAGGCAGCTGGCTGCTCGGAACCACCAAATGACATGGGCACTGAACCCTTCAACACAATCATCACATACTGCATACAAACAACAAACAATACATTACATGCCATGAACAAATATGAATTACTGTAAACAGTATACAACTGGTTAATAGGATGGTTAAGGAACCCGGACCAGTATTCATTTGGCCTAGTGGTATAGTCTTTAGTATAGCTTTAAAGACTATAGGTTAAAATCTAATCACTTTAATTATATATATAGAAAAATAAAAAGCATTTTTTCTGGTTTTTGGCCAGTTCCAAACATTTCCTGTTCTTTATAAAAGGACCAGACAAAGCAGGCATCAAGTCCTTAGTTGAACTGGACCAGATTTTTTGTCTAAGAGGCAGAAATAGAAAAAGGAAGAGAGCAAATCTCTAAACAAGAACATAAATCAATTGAACCAAGAGCATAATTCTCTAAATACCAAGGTCTAACAAAGCCATTCAAAAGTCTTGTACAGGCAGAAAAGTTTAAACATTTACCACATGCCCAACGATCTACAATGGATACAAGTAAAATAGACAAGATGACGGTGACTATTATAGCATTAGCCATTTGGGTCATGCAAAACTCTTCAGGCATCAGCAGTTCCAGCCTAAGTTTGATCAGATTCTTATGTAACTCTCGCAAGTTGCATTGATGCTAGAGGGTAGCAAGATATTTACACATGCATACAAGCATGTACACAAAATTCTTGTTCAAACAAGAAACGAGACGCAAGTTTAGACAACAGAGTGGTTACTCTTTCCTAGCATTCAAATCGACAACAGCGAGAACAAGTGAACAACTATAGGTACTTGAATTAGGTAACAATAGATCTTTCTTATGGTAAACCTATCGGTCTCAAGACCCATCCTAAAAAAGATCCATTGATGTGGGTGTTCATTGTTCAATTTTAACGGTAATAACCAACCAAACCAAAATTTAGTTTGGTTAATCGGTCGGTTAATTAGATATTAAATCAGTTAACAATTAAGAAAATTTCCAAAGTTCAGTTATCAATTAATTAACCAAATTAACAAAAAATATTAAATATTTATTACATTATATATATATTTTAAGTTCAAACTCACTAAGAATCAAGACCAACAATTTTTTAATGACACTGACCATTAAAACTTTTAAGACCCAATATTTCGGTTCATTTGAAAACCAACCGAATTAACCAACCTTTGTTCGGTTAAAAGTTAAAAAATTGGTTAATTCGTTTCGGCCTTTGACCAAACTAACCATTTGAACACCATATCCAATAATGCAGAGTCGATCCTAGCCCCCTAAACGGGAAAAAATTAGTTCAGCCCCTTTAGAATATTTATTCATTATAATTGAATACAGTGGTAAATTTCATTTTGGACCCCCTAAAGTAGTAAAAATGCAGTTTGGTTCCTAAAAATTTATAAGCATGCAAGTTAGTATAATGGTAAAAATACATTTTGACTACCTAAAAAAATCATAATTCAATAATGGCCCCGGCTCCTGCATAATGGGCGATGATTGTTTACCAAACAAGATACATCTTAAAACACCCAACACCGAGACTAGAGCACCGCATCAAGACGCACAATTCCACGAATGAAAAAACAAGGAAGCAGAAACTAAATATTCAACAAAACAGGAATAGATAAAATTAGGAATGAAAGGTAGTAATAAAAAGGAGGGAAAGGAGAAGCGTACGGCCTCAGGTTTTCCGATGAGTTTAGCCACCGTAGAGGTGGCTTCGGAGAGGATGGAGGAGGTGTCGACGCCATCCAGGTTCACGTTGGTTGAGATGTTGAGGCAAGGCATTTCACTCTTCTATCAGAATCCAAGTAATTGTTAGTGTGGGCGGCCACAAGTTCTCTGCAATCACTACCGCTTATATATAGAAATTGTCTAGTTACGGAAATACCCCTTAAATACCCACGGGCCTTGGCTCTAGAAGACACGATCTCTGAATAACAGGCATCTCAAGGGTAGCCCATTTTTATTTTATCTGGGCTTCGTTTTTGTGTTTTTCTTGGTCAAATTATACACATAGTCCACGTACTATGAATAAATTGTGAATTGGTCTAATTATACCAAATTCCAATAATAAAAAATATAAAATAGAAAGCGCATGTGGATAAATCTTTGAGAGATTTTTAAAAACATAAATTCAGTTAAAAATTCATTAAATTTATATTTTTTAAAAAACTAATTATTACTTGAATTAAATAATAATAATTTTATAAAATTAAGTCAAAATTCATTAAGTTTAGATTTTAAAAAAACTAATTCTTACTTAATTGAGCTTATATTTTATTACATAAATAATCAAAAACAAAATGATAAAAAGATTTATATTTGAAACTAGGGCCTGCTATTTCTCATCTATTTATTGATTCAAGTAGTGATCTTAAAATTGGACAGATTTGGGAGGATTTACGTATTAAAGTTCCAAAGGTTCCATGGCATAGCCTGGTTTGGTTTCCAGGATGTATTCCCAAACACAATATCATTGTGTGGATGGCTATTTTAAATAGGCTTCCTATCCGAGTAAGACTTTTGAGAATGTGATTAAGCATTGAGAATGATAAGTGTGTGCTCCTTGATGCTGATGCTGAGGCTGAGATTAGGAATCACTTGTTCTTTGATTGTGGTTTTGCGAGGGAGTTGTAGATTGATATTCTTACTTTGTGTGGTGTAACTCGCAGGGTTAGTTGTTGGGATAGGGAGCTGGTATGGGTTGTTCATTGCTTTAAAGGGAAATCTCTCATTGTGAGGGTGTTTAAGCTTGCTTGGGCTTGTCATGTGTGTGGCATTTTGAAGCAAAGAAATAGTAGGCTTTTTGGGGCAAAGCTAGATTGGTATAATTAATTTTCAGAAAAATATTTTTAAACTTTTTATTTAAAAAATAGGAGGAAAAATTAATTGTAGTTATAATTCAAAAGAATGATATTTTAAATATTTCCCCGACTTAATTTGCGTTTGATTAACGCTCATTAGGAGTTTTATAATAATAGAGATAATAATGTAATATATATATTTATAAATTACTGGATTCTTTATTGTTAAAAAAGGAGAATAAAATTTTGAATAATCAAAATTAAATTAAACTTTCAGAGCCGAGCTTCGAAAATCATTGAATAATATTCGACGTTTTACTGTATTACAAATATTAGCATCGTGTTCCACCACCAGAATCCCCATACGTTTTGTGCCTACTAAAATTGCCAAGCCGAGAACGCTTATAAGCATTTGCTCTACTTACTTCTTCAAGCGTCTTATGATCCACAACGATTTCGAAATTGATCACGGTCTCGCCTTCCCCGGTTTTCTTGCCTTGAGGGTCCGGAGCATCCACGATGCTCGCGGTCTGCATGCTGACATCGGACAAGGCCCCCGAAGTCGAATTCGCGGTTGGAGGAGGTCGTTTCTTTAAGAACAAGCAAATCACGGCACAGTCGTTGACCTTCGAACCCGGGTACTTTGTTCTCCATGCTTGAACCGCGTAATAAACCAGCACCTTTGCTGCTATGGATTGTCTCTTCACTGAGGATACTATTTGTATCACCTCATTGTTTGAGAGCACATCCCACACCTGCAGGCAGAGAAACGTTCATTGGTTAAATTTCAGGTTTGGTCCCTCTGATATACTCAAATTTAAGGTTTAATCCTCCGCTTTAATTTGTAATCTTGCTTGCCCCATCAGTCGCCATCACTATAAATTCATCTTTGGGTGTAAGTGTTCTATAAAAGATTTGAGGTGTCGAGATAAGTCCATTATCCTTGAGGCAGAAATCCCCGAAAGCCCTCGACATGGCTAGACCGGGGCAATCTTGGTCCAGCATCCATATTTGCGGTACATTCGGTTCTATTTCCATAGCAAACACCATGCCGCTGTGTTTCTCGATTCTTTCGGCTTCACTTTGCACGCTCGGTTTCAAGTCGACCGTGAGCTGAACCGGAATAAGTTGGTTTCTGTTGTCCCTAGTTGCGAGAATCGCTCGAGAATCCCCCAAGTTCGAAATTATCAAGTGATGGTCCTGAAAATATTGGTTATGATCATGGCAACAGTTACAACCACAACATATGGTGAAGGCAATTAACATACCTGCTTAACAAGGGTTACAGCCGTGGCACCACTGCAATAACTATCAAGTGATTCTTCCATAATGAGATCTTCATTTAGTTCTTCGAAAGCTTTAATCAAATCCGTCTCCCATTGTTTGTGACAATTGTCCTTGTCGCTGTCCTTCTTAGCACCACCCCGATGTCGATGCTGAAGCTGATGCATCTTGGAAAGCTTCAGGGGCAAGGCGTCACAAACATGGCGTGCGACCTTGTGACCCGAGGGACCCTGACCATCGAATACACCGCAGAAGAATACGTTCTTCTCGCCCGTAAAGTTCTGGATCATTCACGCAGATAAACATCAAATCGAAACACAAATTCAACAATGAATCCGACCCAGATCGACAAAAACGAAAACGAAACGATGAATAATAAAAGATGGGGGGATAGGGGACCTCCTAGACGGTCATGGTGTTGGGAAATAAACCAAGTACAAGTAATTTTCCTATAACCAGATTAGTGAGAATGCGAAATAAAAACGGAAAAATAATACCCGAAATTGATAACGGAGTTCAGCCAATTTGCTTACGTCTCCGGACTGTTGCAGATCTTTTACTAAGAGAGAAAATTTACAGGTGTTTACAAAACACTCACTACTCACAAGAAAGCTCTCTATTATTGGGAGAAAGAAATGATTTTTGGGATGGTTTGGAAGCTAAATGAGCTAGGGTATTTATAGTTGAAACTTAAGGACTTAATCTTGTAAATACCCTAAAACCTAGAGATTAATTGTGATTATCCCATTATCATTTTTCAACAAACATCTACTAAACTTTGAAAAACTATTTTTCAAAGAAACATTTACCAAACTTTGAAAACCATTTTTTCAAAGTTGGTTACCAAACTTGAAAACCATTTTAATACTTTCAACAATCTCCCACTTGAAGACTGATTTTAATCTGTCTTCACACCTCGATCAATGCAACAACTTTTCTAGTCTTGTTACTCTAGCATGCCAACTGAAGTTAAACACAACTTCAGTTTGTCTGTAGTCACCGTCTTTGTCAACATATCTGCCGGATTTTGAGCTCCACTGATCTTTTCAAGTTTCAAAATCTCATCTTCCAGAAGAGACCGGATAAAATGATATCGCAATTATATGTGCTTTGTCCTGGAATTAAAAGACGGATTCTTTGCTAGATGTATAACACTTTGACTGTCGCAATACAAGACATTATTTTCTTGTTTCTTGCCTAACTCTTCCAAGAAACTTTGGAGCCAAACCATCTCCTTGCTAGCTTCCGTAACAGCTACATATTCTGCTTCAGTTGTGGAGAGGGCAACTATCTTCTGTAGTTGAGAAACCCAACTCACTGCGGTTCCTCCTAGAGTATAGACATACCTTGTAGTGCTCCTTCTGATGTCAACATTTCCGGGTAAGTCAGCATCTACATAGCCTGTCAGTATCGTATCTCCACCTTTGAAACAAAGTGCTTTATTTGTGGTACCCCACAGATATCTGAGGATCCATTTGACTGCTTCCCAGTGTACCTTGCCCGGATTATTCATGTACCTGCTAACAGCTCCCACTGCTTGAGCAATATCTGGTCTGGTACAAACCATAGCATACATCAGACTTCCAATCGCTGAGGTGTACGACACCTTCACCATGTGTGCACGTTCTTCCTCCATCTTTGGTGACTATTCTTTGGAGAGTCTGAAATGAACACCTAAAGGTGTACTTACTGGTTTAGCATCTTGCATGTTGAACCTGGAGAGTACTTTGTTGATGTACTCAGCCTGTGATAATATCAAAGTCTCCGACTTTGTGTCTCTCTTGATCCTTATCCCAAGAATATGCTTTGCAGCGCCCAGATCCTTCATAGCAAACTGCTTTGACAATTTTTGCTTCAAGTTTATAGTCTCTTGCATATCTGAGCCTGCAACGAGCATGTCATCAACGTACAACAATAAAATAATGAAGCTATTGTCGAACCTCTTGATGTAGCAACAATGATCTGCTTGGCATCTGGTAAAACCACTGCTACTCATGAAACTATCGAACTTCTTGTACCACTGTCTAGGAGCTTGTTTTAAACCATACAAGCTCTTCTTCAACCTGCATACCAGGTTTTTCTTGCCTGCCTCTATGAAGCCTTCTGGCTGCCTCATATAGATTTCTTCCTCCAAATCACCATGAAAGAAAGTTGTCTTTACATCTAACTGCTCAAGATGTAAATTCTCTGTAGCTATAATTTTCAACACCAGTCTGATTGTAGACAGTTTCACGACTGGAGAGAAAATTTCATTGTAGTCAATACCTTCTTTTTGCTGAAAACCTTTGACAACCAATCTCGCTTTGTAGCGTTTGCTCCCATCGTGCTCTTCTTTGATCCTGAAAATCCACTTGTTGTGAAGCGCTTTCTTGCCTGGTGGTAATTCAGCTAATTCCCACGTCTGATTTGACATAAGCGAGTCCATCTCATCTTTCATGGAAGACTCCCACTTGACTGAATCCTCCACTTGCATTGCTTCATCATAGCACTCTGGTTCACCATTATCAGTCAGCAACAAGTAGTGCAAAGAATGAGAATACCGTTGGGTTGGTTTAGGAATTTTGGAGGAGTGTCTTAGTTCCGGTGTGCCTGGTTCTTCTTGAACTGCTTCAGGACTGATCTGAACGTCATTTCCAGAAATCTCCTCGAACTCAACAAATTCCTTTGTTTCAGCTTTGGTATTGGAGCCGCTTGATTCTACAGTTGACCTGTCTTTGTACATCACATTCTCATTGAAAATGACATCTATGCTTCTGATGATCTTCCGATTTTCATAGTCCCAAAACCGGTAACCGAACTCATCACTGCCGTAACCAACAAAGGCACATTTGTTGGACTTAGCATCAAGTTTACTTCTTTCAGCAGAGTCTATGTGTACATAAGAAATACAACCAAACACTCTTAAGTGTGAAAGGTTTATTTCTTTCTTGCTCCAAACTTCCTCTGGTATTCTGCCATCCAAAGGAACTGAGGGCCCACGGTTGATCAGCTAAGCTGCAGTGTTGATAGCTTCAGCCCATAGAAATTTGGGCAATTCGGCATGTATTCTCATGCTTCTGGCACGTTCATTTAGAGTTCTGTTCATGCGCTCTGCTACGCCATTCTGCTGCGGTGTCATGAGAACTATTTGTCTCCATCTTGATCCCATTGTTTGCGTAGAAATCTCTGAATCTCCTATTTCTGTACTCTTCTCCATTGTCAGACCTCAACCGCTTGACTTTCATACCAGTCTCATTTTCCACCATGGCCTTCCATTTTCTGAAGGTATCAAAGACTTCTGATTTCTTCTTCAGAAAATAAACCCACACCTTCCTTGTAGAATCATCGATGAAGGTGACATAATATAATGAGCCTGCAAGAGATGAAACTGGAGATGGTCCCCATACATTAGTATGAACCAACTCTAACTTTTCAGCCTTGGGTGTCTTACCAATCTTTGCAAATATGACTTTCTTTTTTTTGCCAAAGATGCAATCCTCGCATAGTCTGACGTCTACATTCTTTAGATCCGGCAGCTTCCCCTTTGACAAAAGTGTCTTCATCCCTTTCTCGCTCATATGGCCAAGCCTTTGGTGCCATAGGTTTGATTTTCCATCGGCATCTGCTACTGCAATGATATTCTTTAAATTTGAGGTTATATAGAGAGTACCAGTTTTCTTACCACGAGCAATGACGAGTGCTCCTTTGGTAATCTTCCATTCACAGCCTGAAAAGGTTGTGCTAAATCCTTCACCATCAAGCTGTCCTACAGAAATCAAATTTCTTTTGAGGCCAGGAATATGTCTCACTCCTTTCAGCGTTCAGGTGGTCTGGTTTGGCAACTTTAGTCGGATGTCTCCTTTTCCGACGATCTTCAAGGTTTCATCATCAGCTAGATGAACCTTCCCAAAATTACCACTGACATAATTTTCCATGATTTCTCGGCATGGGGTGGAGTGGAAAGATGCCCCTGAATCCAAGATCCATGATTCAATCGGACTGTTGACGCTTAGAATCATGGCATCACCTGTCTCCTCTGTCACATTGGCAGATTCCTGTGCGCCGGTATTTTTCTTCGGTGCTCGACAATCTCTTTTAAAGTGACCCTTCTTGCCGCAGTTATAACAGGTAAAATCTTTCTTCCCCGTTCTTGATTTTTCCCTTCTGGATTTAGATCTGCCACGATTTGAATTTCTTTCTGAAGTTCTCCCTCTGGACTCCGTGTGCAAGGCTGAGGAGGTTGATGCTTCACCCGATTCTCTCCGTCGAATTTCTTCGCTCAGTCAAGATCCCGAACATCGTCGAATTTTAATTTGCTGTTTCCCGACGAGCTGCTGACTGCTGTAACAATAGCATTCCAACTGTCTGGTAGAGATGATAAGAGAATTAAAGCTTGAACTTCATCATCTAATTCAATTTCCACGGAACTCAACTGGGTTGTGATTGTGTTGAGTTCATTTAGGTGTTGTGCCACTGATGCCCCTTCCGTCATCATCAAATTAAATAATCGCCTCATCAAATGAACTTTGATTGAGGCCGATGGCTTCTCATACATACTGGAGAGAGCCGTCATAAGACCCGCCGTGGTCTTTTCCTTTGCTATGTTGAAAGCAACATTGCGGGATAACGTCAATCGGATAACTCCGAGGGCTTGTCTGTCGAGAAGAGCCCAGTCTTCATTCTTCATGCCCTCTGGTTGTTTTCTTGAGAGGGGTTGATATAGATTTTTCTGGTATAGAAAATCTTCAATTTGCATCTTCCAAAATCCAAAGTCCGCACCATCGAACTTTTCAATTTTCACCTTCCCTTCGTCTGCAGCCATCGCTCCCACTCGAATCTGGCTTCGTTTGGATCGTTTCTGACAATTTTTGCGAACCGCCGTGTATTAGAACACCTCCGTCGACAAACTCGTATCGCCGACCGAATTTTACTATTCACGTGAATAGTAACCCGAATAGTAACCTCGCAAAAAATTGACAAAATTCACAACCCAAAAGCTCTGATACCAGTTGTTGGGAAATAAACCAAGTACAAATAATTTCCATATAACCAGATTAGTGAGAATACGAAATAAAAACGAAAAAATAATACACGAAATTGATAACGTAGTTCAGCCAATTTGCTTACGTCTTCGGACTGCTGCAGATCTTTTACTAAGAGAGAAAATTTACAGGTGTTTACAAAACACTCACTACTCACAAGAAAGCTCTCTAGTATTGGGAGAAAGAAATGATTTTGGGATGGTTTTGAAGCTAAATGAGCTAGGGTATTTATAGTTGAAACTTAAGGACTTAATCTTGTAAATACCCTA